CCTCCCTCTCTAACCCTTTTTCACTTTTGTTGCCTTCCTTTTCTTGGCAGGGAGTGAGGCACCTCTCCAGACATTTTTTTTCCTGCGCCTTGAGCCCCCTTCTTCTCTCCCTCCCAACCCACCCACCCCAATTCCAAGTCTGGAAGCTGAGTGTGACCTAATGTTTGACAGACAAGTAGCCTCGGAGAAAAGACTCATCTATCAGAGGCTGGTAATTCTATTAGAATAGACAGAACACCCCCACAGGCCAGCATTTGGCATATTCTCTCCATCAGTTTAGCTCTTTTCTAAACCCTCCGGGCCACAGGCCTACAAAATGCAGCTTACGCTAACAAATAATCACAGTGAGTTAATAACATATGCGTGTGTGCGTGTCTGTGTGTGTGTTTGTGAGCGCATGTCTTCACTTTCTACCCGTTTTTTCAATGGGAATTGTCTAGTTCTTTGATATGAAGCATCAAAGGACAATTTCCCTTTTCAAATTCTAATCTCATCCGAGAGGCTAAAAAGGTATAATGCAGGGAACTGCGGCAAGTTAAGATAGGAGGATCACAACCAGGCACTAATCAGGATTGCTATCGAGATTCCTGGATGTTTATATGTCGACAAAGATGGTTAGATGAAATGTCTATTGTCTTGGGTGGTTATCAAGCCTAATTACTACTATGAGAGAAGAGAAGAGAAGAGAAGAGAAGAGAAGAGAAGAGAAGAGAAGAGAAGAGAAGAGAAGGAGGTTTTACTTGCGTCTCATACTGGGATGGTAATATGTGGAGGACATGTTTTGAGCAGATTGTTATTTGTGTGTAATCAGTGCTTTTCTGTCAGTCGTGATGGCTGAGACGAGTAAAGAAGAGGAGGTAGATTGAAGCAAGCATAAGAAGAGAAGGGAGGAAGACGTCTGGACAGCAATCAAGCATACCACAAACAGGAAATGTAAGTCTGCGGATAGCCCAGCTGTTGTGATTGGCCTCTCTGCCGCTACAGTTAAATCAAAGCAGCAGGAAAAGCTTATACAACAACCTTCAAGTGTCAGCCTCTGAAAATAGTCTGTTAACATTAGCTGAGTTTTCCCACCGTTTAAAATGGCTCAGTGTTTGGAGTGGATCAATGTTGTTTGTGTTTATGCCCTTACGTTTCCTTTGGTGGAGACTTTACAGTACGTGACATGGACGAGAAACATGTGCCACTAAGTGCTCGGGTGTGCACGGGCGTCTCTGTGTGTGAGGATGCATTGTCTCCGTGGTTAATGACTGTTCGATATTGATTGCAGCTGGAACGTCCCAGTCACATGTTCCTCATCCTGTCCAGATAATGAGGGTTAACCACTTGACCCCGTGCATGCCAAAGGGACTCGGCTCATACCTGGACGCGCAGCCCCGGCTCAAGCCGCGTCTCCCGCAGCACTACCAAGGCCATGAGCCTCTGGTCTCCGGGCTGGGCCTGTAGATCACAGTCGTGTCATGCAGCCACGACTAAAGGGAAATGTGCCAGACTTCATTAAGGGCAGATTAAAAGCGAGAGGAGGGCGTTTTAACCGTGATTTACTTCCCCTGTGAGTTGCTGGACGAATTACGAGCCCGCAGCAGCCTCATCCTGGAACCATGATGTCATACTTTCAGTGTTTGCTAAGTGTAAATATCAGATTGGGAAGCAACTATGTGCTCGACAGCAGGGTTCATCTTGGATTCAGAGAGAAGAAAACAAAAGCGACAGCAAATGTCTCTCCGTTCTCCCATTTACGAGCTGTAAGAAATGACGACACAATGAATTTCATATAAATCTGTGAACGTTTAAGAACCAAAGAATCGCTTCAGTTTAAAAAGGGAGAATTTACATGTTCCTGCTTTATATGACAATATAGTATTCATAGCAAGAACGGTAGCAGGATTTGGGGATAGTAATGTTAATCTGACTGCCAGTCAGTCTCTAAAACTACTGAATGTGTTGCCTTGCAGGTTCATATAGACATTCATGGCCCGCAGAGGAGGAATGGTGATCACCTGACATTTCTTTTAACACCAGCAGGAGTATCTTTAAGGAAAAAGTCTTCAAAGCAATTGGATATACTGCAATAATATCTGCTGCGCGCTCGTGTTCCCTAAAGCGGGATAGAAATACTCTAGTAATCCTTTCAGGTGTGTCTGTGCCAATATCCAGTCAAAATTTCAATTAATCCAGTACTTTGGGTTACAACTTAATAACTGCTAAAGTGGTGACGTTCTTAATCAGCCTCAGCTGAACTTTGCAACACTAAAAGTGAGAGGGTGAATAAGCAGGACACCTACTATCTGCCTGGTCATTATAAGCGTGTCAGCGTGGTAGTAGGTGTTTTGAACTGTGATTTGACCGCATTCTGACACATTTGATCAATTAAATATTAAATGAATAAAAGCATGATTACAGTGCTGTGCACAAGTGTTGAGCTACCCCTGATTTCTTTATATTCTGCTTCCAAGGAGCCAGACTTTCCTGTAATATTTTAAAGTGGTCTTGAGTCACAGTTCTCCAGGCTTTGTGAAGGTCATTCCAAGCTTTTCTTTGGACATTGACTGCTTTTTAACTCATTTTCAGTCCGTGTACCTGACAACTTTCCGAGGAAGCTTCTGTTTGTTTGTCTGTTTGTTAAGCCACTCAACACTGACCTGATCTATAAATCATTCAAGCTCTTAAAGCAAAAAGGCACTTAACGTGTGGGCTGAACCAGTGTTGTGTCTGCACATAAACAGACAAACAAAAACCAATTTTAAATGGTATCTTTAGACAATTTATTACCGGCAGCTTCTTGCAAAAACACATAATTAGTTTAACTGAATCTATGAAAAACAGTTTGACCGACATAAAACTGTACTTTTGCATCAACAAGGTGATTCTTAAAGAGCTATTAGATGAAAAGTTGTTATATTGTGACATGGTGTGTAGCGTGGCCTTAAGATTTTTGAGGAAACTAGACAAACCCCCCCCCCCCCCAATCCTACAGCAGACGAGCAATATTTGTACTACCGTTCACTGAAGCCTCATCGAAAGAGTCTCAGTAGAAGGGTAGGTGTCATTTAGGCATTCTTAAGGAAGAGGAAGTGGCTGAGGTTTGCTAAATTACTTAAGAACTGAACTGAAAATCACATGTAACAGGTTGTGGGAGGTCGAAAGAGAGGTACAACAGCGAGTATAATCTGATATTGATCACAAACACACTAGAAAAGCAGTAAAAACATACCTGGATAACCAGCTGATAAACAGCTGCACTGAAATAAATAATGTGAGGTTCAAGACTTTTACACATTACTACCAATCAGCGATGAAAAAACCCCTTAGACATGGGCGTTCTCCATTTTGAAGTGTGTGTGCGTGAGCTGCTGTGATATGAAAGTACATTCAGGCTATTTATGGAAGCACTAATCACAGCCACCTATACACATTAACACAATGACCTCATTCCTTGAAAATGCCAGTATCTCATAGGTAGCTGTAAGAAGGGTGAAAAACACTCAAATGGGTTCTCTATGATGTGAGTGAATATGAAAGCTAAGCTCAACACACTCCTTGTTGCACAGAGGAGTTTTTGTTTATGTAAAGGCATGTGGACAGTCAGTCATGTTTCACATATTGTAGTGAATATAACATTTTTTTTCTTTTGAAATCTACATATACTATAGTAAAAGATTAATTTTGATCATTCCTAGGACAAATCTATGGATAATGTTTTGCTGGGCTAACAAACGTCTACATCACCATCCTCGTGAACTGTTGGCACTATGCGTGGCAGTCCACAAAGTTGTACACAGGTGGCATCTGTCCAAGACCCTCTGATTGGTAAAGCATCAGGCATCCAAGATGGCAACTCTGTGGCAACTGCTGCTGTTGAGGATGCACACACATTAACTGCACAAATATAAATTTACTCAGACAATTAGGGTGTATAATCACTGGAAGCCTGTGTTATTGTCTCACAGAGATTTATGAGCTGTCAACACGCCATGGGTTGTAATAAAAAAAATAATTTCAGAAACCATAAGACGTGTCTTTAAATGTCTGCTTTATTTCCTTTCCAATTAGACTCAGTCCCTCCCCCCCTCACCTGTAGTCTGAGAATCGATTTCATCACAGCCATTAGGGGGCAGCATTGATTGAATAAATGCAAGGAAATGAAGGGGAACTCTCCTCTCCTTTCTCCCTCAAACACACACACACATATGCGCGCACAAAGGGGGCACAGACATGGACATGATCAATTATGTGTCAAGCATTTCTTCCTCAGTGAATGAATGGCCCAGTGACTATAGGCTACCGACCGTCTATTGTCTATTGACACTGGAGACTAAGTTCTCATGCAGTTCATTATCCCAAAAGAGGACGACTAGAAAGAGATCCAAAGAGACCATTAATCATCATTCCCTTCAGAGAAGAAAAAGAAGGGGGCCAAAAGAACAGATACTGTAATCCTGTGTATATAGAATAAAACCAATATATTTACAGCGGCACAGCTAGAAGTAGCAGAAATAACAGACTAGTCGTAGGGAAAATGTTACAAATGCAATCCTTCATAACCAAAATGATAAATGTGGCGCTCCAGGCGAATTTCTTGATGGACCAATTAGTAATTAGTTATCTACTGGGAACAACAAGCCCTGGACTTAAAGGGGCCAAAGTTTTGCTCTTGTAAGCACTTTCACACACACATACACACACTCTGGTGCACTCGTTTTCAGTATGACGAATAACTCCAACGCCCATTTCAATTTGGGTCGATGGCTCGGGCCGAGGTGGTGGTGGAGGTGGTGGTGAGAGGGGAGGTGGAGATGTGGGGTCAACCCAATAACACCCCCGCCCCCCCTCACCAATTCTCGCTCCCTCCTTCTACCTACCATCTACCCATCCACGTCCCTTAAATGCCTTCGCTTCCTGCTTCCAAGTTCGGACAGAGCGCTGTGATTGGCCGCCGCTGGCACAGTGGGCTGTTCCTCATGCGCTCTGTTCAGCTCGGGTTACAGTTGAGCTCGGGCTGCCGCACACACCGGAGGGCACAGTGTTACAGACGGTCAGGAAAAAAAAACACAACATACCGGCGTGGAAATGTTGGTGAGCTGATTTAGGAGCCACGTCGAGAAGCAGGGGAGCAGGTCTAATCTTACCTCGGCACTTTTTTGTGTGTGTTTCATGAAGCAATAAACTAGCGGGGAGACCGGACTGTATTTTTACGCACCGGCCACGCAGCATGCCCGAGTTGGACTAGAAGCGACCCTGCCGGAGCGCAACACGCACGCGTAACGCCACTGAGAGCCAGGAGGAATATTTACAATAGAAACTCAATTCCTTTTTTTTGGGGGGGGGAAGGAAGAATAGCAAAAGAAGGAGGCGGAGGAGTGAAAGATAACACTGGAATGAAGTGGACCTCGGGATTCCTGGCGTGCTGCGGAGTTGTGACTGATGGATGAATGTGGTCATCTGTTGGCTATAAACGGCGACAGGTACACACACCACCGAGGGCAGCTCTGACAAAGACGCGGCGCGGCGCTCCACCGACAGCCGCATCGCCAGATTGTGGCAAAACTGCGCGATTGGTCAGATCCGCTCCACGCATAGGGATCGCTGAGTTTTGTCCACAGAGTGAAAGAAAAGGTCGTGAGGGGGTGTTTTTTCTTTCTACTGCCTCAGCCACAGGTCAACCAGGACACTCGGTGGGCTGCTGCTGCTTTCCTCCAAATCCTATCAAGAACCGGGGCTCCTTCGCACGGCAGTTCAGTTAAGGACACGGGGTCTGGAGCAGATCTAAAGAAGTCGGACACAAGGACATGTATCTGATATCGACCTCACATGCTCCCGACTGATCGTAGCTCACCTTCCCACCGGGCGAACCGCAGATAAAGGTTGCCAAGCGCACCGTCCGTAGCTCTAGAGTTCTCGGCTCACTCGTCTTGTGCATTTATCAGAATGGCGGGACTCGGTTGTTGGAAGTATTACCTCTGGATCTTTACAATAATGTGCAGGTCGGCGTTACCCTCGGCTAAGTCGCTGGAGACTATAATCTGGAGCTCGCAGAATCCCAAGTAAGTCTTGCATTTTCATTTGGACGAGGCTGTCAAACTCTATGGGTGTGTGTGAGTGTGTGTGCGCGCTCAATGGAGGGCTAACATTTATGGAAAAGTTGCCATTGTGTACACGCTGGGTTAAATGTTCTGTTAAATGTGGCAATTATCTTAAAAAGAACATAATTTATTTAGTTCTAATTGTCCTTTCTGCGCCGCAGAGTGTGGCGTTGACGTCTTTCCCAGTAGGGAATTTCCCAACACTGAAGAAACACCGTTAAGTACATGCTTATACAATGTACAACGGGCCCAGCTTAAATCACACATTAAGATGGGTAATTATAGCAATTTTATTCGCAATATTGCACCCACCGTTTTATTTTCCAACTAAATCACGGCTATTCTAGGGCTGTGAGAAGTTCATCCACTCATAATTGGTGCAAAGAATAAAGGTGAAAAAGTCAAGTAAACCACGCCAAGTGTGTTCAGCTATAGCGCAGGATATTCTTTCCTCCCAACAGGCGTACGAGGGCCACACTCCGTCCAAAGTGGCCAAGTTTGAATTTAGTTTCTCCCCACAAAAATGCATAACAAGATGGTTCCAGATATCAGGTGAGCAAATGATCGAAAATTGTATTTTTCTTAATTACCCTGGCTTGGATCCAGCGCAATTTCTTCCCATGAAATCAAGGACACGTTTTTCAAAAGTCAGCAGCTGAAAGCCAGACACTTTCTTTAAAAATCCATATTATTTCCATCCAAACAAGTAAAGTGAGCCCAGACTACTGATAATAGATTACGCTCTGGTAACAATTATCACCCACTTAGACTTGACTCCCACATCTACATCATGTTGGAAAGCATTCATAAAGGGGGGGAAATAAACTAAAAGAGAAAAAGAGAGAGAGAAAAAGATCTGTGTGGTTGGAGCTGACCTTCATTCGAGCTCACAGCACTGAGGGGAAATGGAGAGTAGCTCGACCAGCCTATAACTGTAAGTTACTCATTGAAGTGAATCCATGATTTATCCCCCAAATGTCAAATGTCATAGAGGCTCGTTGTGCAGTCAGTGGGTATGAATATTGCTGCCATGTTCATTGGAGTGTGTGTCTCTGAGTGTGTGTGTGTGTGTGGCCTGGTCCTAATGGCAAGACTACGGCCCATCAGCTTTTATTTGGCTGCAGAAGTAGTGGAACAATGAGCGTCATCAGACAAAGATACACACACACACACGCACATGCAAAAATCCACACTTTTTAGTTAAGAGTAAAAAAAAAAATAGAGGGAGACATTTATTGATTGATGATGTCACCTGAAGGGAATGTCTTAGAAGGTTACCATGCTGGGATTTTAGGGACTGGAAGATTGTTTCTCCATCTGTTTCTCCACTCTGCTCCTTGTAAAATCCCCACGAACGGCTGAATATTTCATAAAGTTCACAGTGGAACAATAATGCACTCTGCAAAGTGTTCTCTCAAGCTAATTATCCCGCTGCTCTGCCTTTTGGAAAACAATAGACAATTATCTTGCTGTGTGCAGGCTTTACAATAACAAAAAAAAGAGAGAGAGACAAACCTGTTTTTGCTCTGAAATGTATCAGTCAGCAGCACTCGCTGATAGGCAGTAAAAGAAAAAGAGATGGGGTGGGTGTGCTTGCGCAGGAATCAGCATCAGTCTTCACTGTTTGTTCCTCTAAACTCCATCTCTCGGTATTGGCCTGTATTACTCTATAGCGATAACAGTGGGAGAAGCCTATAGAAATGTACAGTACACTATCTGGTGACTTATCGAGATTTACGATGTCTTACTTCCTGTTCCTGCTTTTGGGAGCGCTGCTGCCTCAGCTAATAAATTAATCTGGCCCTCTGCTTGCACAGTGTACTACATACACACAAAAACTATAACAATACCAGTGCCTCCCCACAGGCCATGAGTTATGAGGCAAAGTCTAGGAAACCAGCAGGTTTGGGCCGCTACGGTGTGTGTGTTTGTGCAGGTTTATGTGCATTCCTGCTGCTATGGATTTTCATGTGAGGATGCCATCACTCCCGCCTCCTGTATTATCAATAACTGGGGGTTTGCTTAATTGATTTCCTCCCAGCGTGCTTGAACAGGCAGCATACATCATCGCGGTAGCACTGTCTTGCGAGAAAAATAACAAGAGGAAACATGCTTGAGTTTTAGTTCTCTCTTCTTTTTTTTGCTGCAGGATGCATCAGACCTTTTTGATATTTAATTTGAGGCCGGATGAGTGAAGTGGCAAAGTAGGGGTGTCGGTGGGAGGGGGGTGTGTGATGAAGGAGCAGCCGTGCAGAAAAAGAAGAAGAAGGCTGGGATGTGTCAGTGTCCCCCCGGCCGGTAAAGAACAGTCTAACATTTGATCAGAGCAAATCGGATTAGTTCTCATTTAGCTGAGTGGGATTATGCCACGAAATGTCACTTTGTTATGACTGATCACGTCCCATCGCCTTGGCTGAAGCTAGCGCCACTATGTACAGGCGTGCTACATACATGGACACACACACACACTGACACTCACACTGTGCTGAGGTACACTGCAGTGATGCCAATTTAATGATGATCTGACAAGGTTGCTGTGAGCGGTTCCTGCTCGTCCTCCAGCCCTCCTCGGCTAATATTTACCTCATGACCTGTAACTACCACAGCCTGTTTGCAGCAGCTCAGGAGACAAACAAGGTGGTGAGAGAGGGGTAAGAGAAAGAAAAGGAGAGGAGGAGAGATGGAAAACACAGTTGCACACCTCTAAAAACATGCAGCGAGGAAGTGGCTACAGGCTGGGCAACAGTCTGCTGCACTTCTTTTGAACTCTTTGCATTTTTTGGTGAGGCTTGGAAAGACTTTACATGAATTATTTTTTATTTTTTGGCCTCTGTGTCAAAGCCCGCAAAAGGACGCAAAATAGCAGAAGAAAGGGGGGTAAAAACGAAAAGAGCGTTTGCGTTTGATAAAAAGTAAAGTCTCCTGATTCAAGCCTGTGAGTCTCTACTTTACTCGACTTACTTTGCTGTCCCTTTACCTCAGCTGTCTGGCTCAGAGTTTAACAGTTGACTGGTTTGCTTTATATCACGCTTGCGTGGTTAAACGGTTCAGTGGGCTTGTAATTAAGCTAAACTTTATTACCACTGGGACATTTAGCAAATATGTTTAATTTTTCCCAAAACAAAAAAGAGGAATTTTTGTGGCTTTTTTTTTTTTTAATTGCAAAGCGCTTTGAGATGATGAGGCAGCAATTTTATTGGTTCACTACATTTTTATCACAGCATAATTTAATTTAACTGCTGCTGGTTTTGTTTTCATGTTTAGTGTTTTACAATAAGCTAATTAGGCAGATTTTTTTTCTTTCTTTCTTTTTTTTTCTTTGCATGAGGTAATGAGAAGAATACAATGTCTTCCTTATCTTGGAAGTGCCTCTTACCAAAGCAATCATTTCAATGGGTTTGTTCTCAGACACTGACTCATCTGCCACTTTCACCTGCTCAGCTATGCCGACTTTCAGGAGGAAGTGAAACAAAACAAACTGAAACGGCACAACTTGAAAACTGCCAAAACCTGTTGAGCGAGAGCCGGATGCAGCCTCAGACGAGAATCAGGATTTGGTTCGGAGTCCGGCGAGCGCTCCCCTCTCCTGCTCCGTGCAGCCGCGGTCACTGTCGGGGAGGGTCAGAGGCCTGTTTTTGTTTCTTCCCTGCCTCACACCCCGCCGCTTGCCCCCGTTACCCCTTCGCGATACGTACCTTTTCCCTCTCTCTCTCTGCCTCCCACAGTCTCCCCCTTTCTCCACCCTTTAGACTCTGATCATGTTTCCCTCTGATAGAGATCTCATTACACACAGAGAGGACTTAGAGCCTGAGCCCCACTCAGAGAGAACGAGAGAGGGCCAACCAATAAGAAATACCTCTGGATAGCAACTGGCCCACAGTGCTGTAAAGGGTCCCTGTGTCTCGCTGTAAGGACAGCTGCGTTTTCTTTTATGTGTCTGTGTGTGTGCGCGCACACGCGTGCTTCTGTGTCGACACGACTGTTGTTTCAGCGGTGTGTGTGGGTAATGGCAGATTCTTCATTTGGTTATCTACACAAGGCACCTGGGCTCGGGAAAGAGGGCTGCAGGGCGTGTAGGTTATTTCAGCGAAGAAGAAGAAGTAGAAGAAGAAGAAGAAAAAGAAAAAGAGGAAAACAATGCAGCTTTTTCATCATGGTTTTGCTCCAGATGGACTCACTTTATCCACTGGTGGTTTTGGCTGCCACATCACTGAAAGCTGATCATTCTGTTTTGCTGTGTTATTGATGCATTCATTTCTTTATATTCAAGCAGTGGTGCACACGAAACCAAAGCTTTTGTTCCCCGAGTTTGGGAAAAGTAGCATTTGCTACTAATTTGTTTGGATTTTTTCTTTCTTTCTTTCTCCGTCTTTTTGTTCTGTGTGTGTGTGTGTGTGTGTGTTTTTCCAACTGGTCGTCGTGACCCACAGTTCCAGTTGGTTTTCTTTCAAGACATATTACAGGGACAGCAGCTGAAAGCAGTGAATCATTTGGCAAGAGGGGACAATGCCTGGAAGGATTAGTCAATTAGCAGAACAAGAACATAAACAGCAGTGACTGGACACAATCAACAGCAACTTTACTGACGTCGAGAATCTAAATCCGCAGGCAACGTGTCATATCACAATATTACCATATGTATTTCTATTTAAATTTATATATTTAAATAGTATATTTAAATATATACAGCTACACAAACAGGCAAAAATCCAAATCAAGTGTATTGACTTTTTTTTGTTTATCTGGGGAGTTGCAGCTCAAGATTGTAACCTGACACTAGTAGAAATATTGCACACACATCAACTAACAGAAATGGCACAGAAAAAATCAGCAAAATGCACACATTGCACACATATTGCCTAATTCCTGCCCCCCCCCCCACCACCACCAATTAATTAAATAAATTTTTCAAAAAAAGCTGGTTGGGATTTAGCATTTTTAACACTTGCCGTTTTGTTTTG